TATGAATTACATTAGATGTTTTACCTTGTTGAGAAAACAATATGCATCGTATCCTAAGTCCTATCTAAAAAGCTAATTGTAATTGGTAAAATTGGACTTACTCCTATGTACATATTTCAATTGGGGCCAGTAGGTTAGGAATAAAAGTAGTGAGTGAGAATAAGCATTAAAAAAATATGGTTAATGCATGGGAAACCAAATGCTGCACGGGTCGGTTGGAAAGGTACAGCTTAGTTTCTTAAATTAATTGTGACCACAAAAGTGGAAAGCCGTGTTTCAAGAATAAATGGGAGCAGGTCAACACTGCACATGATGATGCATGATGCAACCATAGTACACTAGATTTCACCTTTAAATGAAATCTTCAGAACATTGTTATTATTTATATTATTATTAACAACAAACAAGAAATATAGTAATATTATATTACTCTCTGCATGTTCATGTTGGCCACTCTTAATAACAAGTAGTACCTTTGTACTATATAACTTCAGATTACAGATTACTCTTCCCACTTGGTATATCACATGCAACTTGTACAACTGGTCCCTAGTGAGGCCATTTATTTCTACGTTCTCATCATCCCTTTTGTTTATATGTGATAAACAAATTAGTTTAGAAAGATTGTGTTCCAAAAACAACATTTGTTTTTAAATTGGAGTACTTTTGGGTTCTGATTTCTATTTCTTTCTCAATAATCTCCCACCGTCCATGTAATTAAGATCAAAATTATACAAACTGCGCCACGTATCATCTTTCTTCAACACCACCCGTCAAATCAAATACTCCTACTCTTTGACTCTATCCAATTATATCTTCTATATAAATCCAGCAAAAAGCCAAGAACTAAAATCTTAGAAATATAAATATATTAAATTGATTTTAAATACATATCAATTACAGTAATTTCTTAAAAGGAAATATAATTGATTTTTCAAGAAATAATATGGTAAAAAGGAGGAGGATGGCACAAAATTATTTCATGTTCACCCAAATCTTCTCCCTGACCCCCCACCCCAATCTTCTGCTGGACATGGAGAAATATTCACACGTAAACTAAATATTACTACTTTAACAACTCAAATTCTACAATTTTCATATTGAAGAAAAATTTCATATTGGTTAAGAGATCAAACATAAAAGTTGTGTATTAGAAGAAAATTTATACAACGTATTCAAGATTTGAAAAGTTGTGTTTTCCATACAAACTTTATATTAGTTCATTTCCTTAAACACTGTCATTAAAATTAATTTTTGAGGTTGAATTAGGCCTAACCTACACAATTCTAAGGCTTGATACATTTATTGACAAAATCCTTTCCTTTTTTTTCTTATTGAAAAATCTTAATCTTCCTACAAACAAGCTTGAAAATCCTACTACCCGTAACAATATAACAAATATAATATACTATTGTGTAAAAGTAGGTATATGTCTAGAGGTGACATGTCATCCGGGTAAGGGACGACAAATATTTACTGTCTCGAATTCCGTCCCCAAGCCCGTCCAGATCCTTGTCCCCGGGTAAGTAGCAACAGAAACAGAAACCAATTGAAATATCTTTCTTTCTTTCTTTTTATATTTATTTATTTATTTTCACCCTTCAACCTTACTTGTTACAATGAAGGGGCACTAACGTATATAAATAAGTCCTATACCTCCGTTATAAACTGAGAATCCAACAACCAAAGCAACAACGAAGTAAGCAAGATAGTGTACGTTGTCTTTGTTTAATAATAAGATTCAAGAAAGAGAGAGATGAAAATGTTTTCAAGGTTCAAAACTCTATCAAGAGCAGTGCACGAAGAGCGTGAGCATGAAGTAGAAGAAGAAGTAACCAAGTATCCCAGAATAAGGAGCGAAGGGAACTCATCGACCACATCCCTAACAGTTTGGAAAAAATCACTTTTGATGAGTTGTAAGGGATTTACTGTAATCGATTCTTATGGAAATCTGGTGTATAGGGTTGACAACTATACTGGTGCTCATAATTACCAACTTACTCTCATGGATGCCTCTGGAAATTCTCTCATCACCATCCACCGCCGCAGGGTAATCTTCACTCATCCTTTTCTTCTTTTTCTTCCTTCTATTTTCACCTAGTTCAATAACACTAAATCTATTGAATTTCTGAACCTCTATTTCGCTTACACGTTGTTCTCATTTTCCTCTATTAAATCCAAGTGGCAAGGAGATTGTATATTGTTTAAGTACCCCTTACCCCTTTATAAAGGACTCAAATTAATTGGATCTCAATTGATTTTCGCATACAGAGGCTTCATGGAAAAACTATTATGTAGTAAAGCACAGTCCCCCTTGAAAAATGGTCATGTGAATAATTTGGTCCATAATTTATTTTGTAACAAGTAATCACATGTTAAAAGTATAAACTTAAACGTAACAGAGGGAAAGTGTCTTATTGTTTGTTACACTAGTTTGGGCCTTTATTCAAAACTGTGTGTATGTATGAAAAAGATATGTAATAATATTAATAGTTTGTGTTTGGCAAATATGCAGAAGCTTGGACTGGTAGATAACTGGTTTGTATATGAAGGGGAAGTGGGAAACCAGCGTAGAAGGAAAAGGAGTAACTCATGTAAGTCATCAGAAATTGAGAGTCCAATTTGCTGTGTGAAAAAGCATGTGAACATTCTACCAGGCAACCCTAACAACATTCAAGCCTACGTGTATCGTTCAGATAAACAGTGTGCTGCGTTTACCATAGAGGGTTCCTATGCACATAGGACATGTAAGGTGTTGGATGAGTGCAAAAGGGTTGTGGCTGAAATTAAGAAGAAAGAAGCCAATACAAAATATGTCTCTTTTGGAATGGATATTTTTCAGTTACTTGTGCAACCTTCCTTTGATCCTGCTTTTGCCATGGCACTCGTCTTACTCCTAGATCAAATGTTTTCATAACATTTTTTGTTACCCAATTACTCTCTCTACTTTTATGTTTTTTTTCCAACAATTTTGAGCTGATAACATAAATTATAGGAGGGGGTTGTTTTTTCAACTTCATTGGTACGAGGAAAAAAAGTGATAAGTAAGCATGTAAAAGTATACAATGTAGATGTTGAAATCAGCTGTATATAAACTTCTTTATCTATGGTCAACATTGGTGTGTTAAAGGAGAGTCCAGTTTAATAAATATCCACTCGTGTTAAACTTTATTTATGTCATGCTAACATGCATGATGAGTATATGGATGTAAGCTTGAGATTTGTTGCTATTACCCCAAAAAAGGATATAATCTTCATCCACTTACCCAACTTGTTTGTTCTTCAATAAAACCAACTTTAATCTCCTAATTTATATATTAGCAATTCAATTAAATCCATTTAGAATGAAATTCATTTATGCGCTTATGCTTCAATTAGCTGAGTAACCAAACACTTGAAATTATTTTACTTAGCTCAGTACTGCTATGCTAATGCAGGCATGAGTTGTGACTGTCAGTAAAAAGTGTATGTAGAACTGTCCTCTCAAATAGATTTTCACATCATATGTTGATGTCAAATATTTTTTCAAATGCTGAGAGTTTAAGACAAAAAAAAGATGATGTGCCTGGAAATTTCGTAGTTGGCCAAGATATAAGGATGTTTGTTGGAAAAGTCTACATATAGCAGTAAGTTGCTTAAAGTCAACCAACATAACAAGAGTGAGATGGACAGGGTAAGCAAAGAACTTGTAGTTTTGTACTCGTGTTTGTATTACAACATTTGAATAGTACTTGCCCTCGAACATGTATGTGTTTCCGCTACTAGACTAGATAGTAACATGTTATCAAATTTTCCAAGCACATGCAACCAAAAATAAAAAAAGGAGGGTGACTCGGTGCACAAGGGGCTCCTATCTAGGAGGATTCTTGGGAGGGTAGATGTACACAACCTTATCCTCACATGAGAAGAGTTTGTTTCCAGGATCTGAACCAATGAGACCGTGACCTCCAAGTCACATGGCTAACAACCTTACCATTGCGCCCATGCTCACCCTCAAGCATATGCAACCAGACCTTCCTGAAATATTATGTGTTGGAAGAATGATTATGAGCATTCTGTTGTTAAGTACATCCTGTTGGGTTGACTCAGCAGTTGGGCGGACTGATTGCAAACAGTGTGGCCTTAAAATTTGAACTGGTTGGTTGGGTAGGACTGGTTTGGACCTTTTGGCCTTGATCTCTGAACTTATTGGTTGGTGTGACTGGTTGCAAGCCTTGTGTCCTTGAGCTTTGACCTGGTGGAGTTGGTAGGACTGGCTGTAGACCCTGTGGCCTGAAACATTGAACTGGTTGGGTTGGTTGGACTGGTTGTGGACCTTGTGGCCTGGAAATTTGAATTAGTCAGGTTGGTCGGATGGCTGCAGTAGACCTTGTGGCCTTGAAAGTTGAACTGGTTGGTTTGATAGGATCGGTTGGGTTGATAGGACTGGTTGCAGACCTTGTGGCCTTAAACTTTGAGCTGGTTGGGCTGGTCGGATTGATTGCGGCAGACCTTGTGGCCTTAAACTTTGCACTGGTTGGGTTGGTTGGACTAGTTGCAGAGCATGTGGCCTAGAACTTTGAATTGGTTGAAATGGTTGCAGCAGCCCTTGTGGCCTTGAACTTGGAAATGGTTGAGTTGGACTGACCAGTGGTCCTTGTGGCCTTGAACTTTGAACTTGTTCGGTTGGCGTAATTATCTGCTGCCTGACATCATCAGAGAGATTAGAAAGCTGTTTACCTGCAAGACTTCCACGCATTCGTGGGGTAGGATGATGTCATTTCTGCTCTGATTGCAAATCGAATAAATCGTTAGGCCTAGAAACTGACTGCAGTGGTGCTCCCACATTTCCTCTTTGCCCACCTGTTAGCCCCTGGAAACTGGCAGAAGCCATAACCCTAGCTTGATGGTTATCTGCAGTAGCTTGTGGATTTGAAGGTTGCTGCAAGTGTGAATTTCGAGATTCACTCAACAACCCAGATGCTCTGCACAGGTTCTGCAATTGACCTAGTGCTGACTGCACTCGGTTCTGTGTTCAACAAGAAAAACATATGAAAAGTAAAGTATGAGTACAAGAGCCATATGAACACAAACTAACATGCACGGAAGTTAAGTTCTTCTAATCACTACCAACTTATGAAGTTGATAGATAAAACACATTGCAGGCATCTTAGGGTGAGGAAGATCGAGAAGAGGGAAAGATGACCATCAAGCGTATGCTAAGAGTATGTTCTTGACATAGTCATGTAGATAATATGATACAAAGGGTTTTACATAAAGAAATAGAAAAGCGGGATAGAGACATGGAATAATATGAGATTGATACTAATACAGTGACAATGTGATGATGTGTGATATAACCGACAAAAGCAAGATAACTAACTCATTATTTAATTCAAGGTCGGGCAGAGGCAGTATTTCCGATGGATCAAATATAAATAGACTAAATGGATCTCAATTCAGAAATATAAATTAATGTTTGTAATACTACTCTGCCCAATTGAAAGATGATATAATTTAACAGACTAAAGATGATACTACTCTCCATTTATATAAAGATGATATAAATTGTTGGTATTATATATAGAATGGCAAGAAGTAGGTAAGTCTCACATCGCCTAACTCATTGTTTCGGGAATGATTTAAATATCTGTTGGACTACTTCTCTCATTGCCAATTGGTTTTGAGATGAAACCTTAACATCACTTACATTCCCAATGTTACATTAGATCTTTCCATCTACACTAAGAAAGATGATGATCAGAAGCATACAGATGACAACACGCGCCACATAGCATAGCACACAAAAAACTAACATAGAAGCAAACCTTATCAGCAATGCTAAAAAGCTCTTCTGACTCTTTAGACTGGAACCATCCAATTTTACAGGCATTCGACAATAACAAACAGTGTCAGTAGGAACTACGAAATTACAGCATAAAGGTTACGGTACAAAAACTTCAGGATTTGTTAAGCAAACCACGTTATAGATAAACAGAGAAAAGCTAACATAAATCCACAGGTGTGTCTATTTAGCAATCCATAGTGATATAGGTTAAAATTTAATACATGAAATAAGAACCAAAGTTCAAGAATTTAAAAGCAAATAGATTCAAAGATCTGCATAAATTTTATGAATTCAATAGCCCAAACAAAATAACGTCTAGTGCACGAGGCTCCCACCTAGTGTTGGAAGGGTATATGTACACAGTCTTACTCGCTTTCCAGAGCCCCAACAAAATAATAGTCTAAAATAATTCTTGCCATGAGGCAAGAGCATCATGTGGTGGTTTACAATTCCTGAAAAAGTTACCATGTTATAGTTAGTAAAGACTGAATAATTGTTCTTCCCAAAATACAAAAACAGCACATAACAAATGGAAACTAAATAAGTTACTCATATTAGTTAGCAACATGAAAAAGGAACATACCTTTATAGGGATCATCAAAAGTGTTATAGCTGCTTGTGAGAGTTCATCATTCTTCTGCTGAAAAATCTGCATGGAAAAGGAAAAGTAGAAGCCTCAAATCTACTAACGTGACATATAAAAAATATGTGACAGAATTGATTGAAAATGAGGGGAAGAGCTCTCTATCAGTGACTAGAGACTTGAAGAGAACATATTAAGACTAAAAACTAAAAAGTAAAGGCTGGAAGAAGACAGAAAAGGAAAAAAAAACTACTAATACAAGTTAATAGAAATTAATATATATTAAATTAATGCTTTATTTTTATTTATAAATTACCATATATAATTTGATTAAAATCATTATTATCTTTTATGTATTTAAGCAAAATCTACTCAATATTATTCATACATTTTATGAAAAAACAAAATTGAATTTTTTACAATTTATTATATTTTTACATTCTTTTGTGTTGTGTCACTCGTCTGAATGGTGGTAAAATAATTTCTCTCATACTATATTGTTAAATATGTCAATGATAATTTCTTACATCTTAATGGACAAACTAAAATCCAATTTTCATTAATCCAAACAACAAGTTTTATTTCTCTTTTATTACTAATCCTACAAAATAACAATTATTTAAATAATAAGATAACATTCTCAAATGTTTTATTGTTTCTTAGTAATGACATTTTAATATAAAATATATTACTCTTATATTATTTACATATTTTATCATTTTTTATATATAAAATATGAATTTCTTAGTTGGTTTCACATTGTCTACTGTTCTAAAATAAAAATAATTCATGCATTATTATTTTGCTTAAATTATTCTTAAATTCTAGTCTTATATCGTTAGCAACCATAGTTTTAAAAACCGTGCCGTACCGGCCGGTTCAACCGGAAAACCGGTGAACCGGACCCCTAACCGGTACGGTACGTATGTTATACTGCATATGCAATAGAACCGGTTGAAAACCGGTCAAAACCGGTGAAAACCGATTGGTTTGTACATTAATTTTTATTTTTTTTAAATTTCAAATTTTCAATTCTTCACCAATTCTTCAACTTCAATGATTGATACTTGTGTCATTTATTTGTATTTTGCGTTTGTTAAGTGATAATTTTGGATAAATATATGTTTTGTGTGAATTTGAAGTAAATTATGAATATGGATTATAAATATGAATATCTACTTATTTGAATTTTTTTTATAGGTTTACATATATATATATATATATATATATATATATATAAATAAGCAAGTATGTTCGATTTAACCGGCATGCGGTTTAATTACTGAACCACTGGTTGAACCACTGTACCACTATACCAGTACCCTAACCGTTTTGATAACCGGTACGGTTTTAATAACATTGTTAGCAACAACTAATTTAAGTCTTGACATAAATTGAAGTATATCATGTTTCTTTTGTAGGTACTTATGAACCTCATTCATTTTACAAACAAATATATGCTAATCATACTGATCATAGAGAAAAAAATGATACAACTTATTTAATCCTACACAAGAATTCCATAATATATAATATACAATATAGATAAATCCAAATAGTATAAAAGTTTATTCATCATTATTATTTTGGTTCGTTACAAAATGTTCCAACAATTTTAAAGAGATTATTTAAATACATAAAAGTATATGAATGATTTTATAATTAAAATTTATATTAAAAATTACAAATTATTAATTTATAATAACTAATATATAATTAATTTATGAGTTAATTACACTGACACCCCTTGAGTTTTAGTGAAATTACACAGACCACCCCTCCATTTTTTACCCCTACAAAAAACCTCTGATTTTTGTACTTACGTTACACTGACCACCCCTGCATGTAAAATAAGTATGACTTTTACGTAAAAATGGATGATAATTGTAATGAAATTAAACAAAATATGATATATTATACAAACAAATCAACATAGTATACGAATCAATATATTTTCATTATTTTTGGTTCATTATAAAATGCATAAATAACTATATGGATATATTATTTAAATCACTTTTATACGATATTATAAGGAACAAAAAATAATGAAAATGTATTGACTCGTAAACTATTTTGACTTGTCTCTATAATATATCATATTTTGTTTACTTTCATTACACTTATCATTTTTTATGTAAAAACTCACACTTATTTTACATACAGGGGTGGTCAGTGTAATGTAAGTACAAAAATCAGGGATTTTTTTGTAGGGGTAAAAAATGGAGTGAAGGTCTGTGTAATTTCACTAAAACTCAGGGGGTGCCAGTGTAATTTACTCTTAATTTATTAAAAATAAACTATACTGATACACATTAAAATTTAAATAATTTTTTGTTTAAAAGATTATAACAAGTTAATGTACATATATAAATTAGAAGCAATTTATATCTATATCTATACTACTAATAAAGTCAAAACACAAATTAACCATTCATCATGGTATAATTTGTGGTTGACTATTTTGCCCTTTCTATTTTATAATTTATACAAAAAAAACTCATATAACGCATATCCTCATATTCCACTATTGTTTTGTGTGTGTTACTCTCCAAAGGTAATTGATAAGTTTTTAATAAAAGTTTTTATGTAATTTTAATAAAAAATGTTAAAATAATTTAGTCTAAATATAATACATTTTCCCACGTGCGAAGGTGCAATCCATGTCTTTTGGGTGAAACATCCACACACAGTGCAATCGGCTAAAGTTTGTTATCGCAGAATGAGCGTCACGCCGGCGAATGTGCTTTCCACGTTGGACGGCGCCGGTAACCCGGTCTCGCCTTCTCTGGTCAACACTTATAGAATCAACGCCGTCGCAGAGCGTTTGGCTTCGTATTTTCAACGTGGCAACCGATACGAGCCTTTTGAAATTTATCACCTCTGCCTCTCCCTCTCTCGGTATTTTTCATTTCTTCGTTTACTTAATCTCTCTCTCTCTCTACTTTCTACTCTTATTTGGGAATCTGCTTTTGTTTTTTGTTGATTTGTAACTGCTATGCTATGGAACTAGGTTGTGCTGAAGTTTTGATTTTGTTAGATCTTATAGTGAAATTTCGAGTATTACATTTAGAATACACATGAATTTACTTCTAAGTTGCTTTCCAAAAGCTACAAGCTCTTCCAATAATTTATGTTTCATTTTTGCTATTTAATTCTTTACCTATTTCAATTTTTACCCAACCCAATATAATACTGCACATTTTTTAAAGCCATTTAACAAATTTCCAGGTAGTTGCACAACTAATTTGCCAAACAGCTCTAATTAATTAGCTAGCTATACAACTAAGTTTTGAACTACAATTTGCTTCACAGTTATACATGCTACACTCTCACAACTATAAGTTAGTCTTGGTACAACTAGCTGATAAACTATCTACAAACTTATAAGCTACCTGAAAGCTTGTGAACTAACTAAAAGCTGATAAGCTACTTGGTTGAATTGAAATTGTTTGGTAAAATTACATGATAAGCTCACGGATATGTGTAAAAATCGCGTGGTCTCTCGCTGATAGGCTATTATCTTCCTTTAGTTTATTAAAAAATACGAGCTTATAAGTTAGTACCTTATTCGAATAAGTTCCTTCACCGAACAGCATAACATAGTTTACTTTTGTGTCAAATGAGCTAAATGACCAGCTTATAAACTATCTGAATGTCTTGCCAAACACTAGTAGCATCGCCATTTTAGCGAGTGGATATTTGAGTTTGGATGGAGTCCTTGCTTGTTGATGATGATACTACAAATTTGGTATTTTGTTTGTGCTTTTAGCTATATTTAATTTGACATGCAGAGGTATTGATTATGCACTTGCCAATGGTGAAATTCCTGACAAAGCTCAAGAACTTTCTGCATTGATGCAACAGGTGATTTCCATTGTATTGTATGATACCTCTTTTTATCTTTCCTTTTTCTTCTTTTTAGGGATGTCAAAAGCAGAAACAAATTCTGTCATGTTTTATTAATTTTTATGCTCGTAGGTTTGAGGCCTCTACTTTTCCTTTTCCATGCAGATTTGTCAATGCAAGAATGATGAACACATACATGCAGCTGTGATGGTTTTGATGATCTCTGTAAAGGTAAGTTCATTTTTTTGTGTTGTTGCTAATTAGTATTAGTAACTTGTTTAATTTCCATTAGTTAATAATTGTCTCATGAAAACCCCTCTTCTTATATTTTGGGAAGAACAATTAATCAGTCTTGAATCTTGAGGCAAATACTTGGTTTTGACTTTGTATAACTCACCCATGATGTTCTTGCATTGTGGCTAGAATGATTATAAACTATTATTTTTTAAGATATTGAATTCATGCAGTTTGTATAGATATCTGAATCTGATTGCTTTTCAGTTTTTGAATTTTTGTTCTTATATCACACATTATTTTTTTTATCCCATATCACTATGGATGGCCAAATAGACACAACTTTGGAGTTATACTACATTTTATGTGTTTATTTATAAGTTGTAACATGTTTTGCAAAAATATTTAGAAACTAAGCACCATAACATTTGTGAAGTTGTGAATTTACTACTAACGCTGTTTGTCACTGTAGAATGCTTGCGAAATTGGATGGTTCGGGACAAAAGAGGCACAAGAACTTCTTAAGTGTGCTGATGAGGTTTGCTTATTTGTTAGCTTTTTTGTGTGCTATGTGATGTGTTGTCTCTTCATGCTAATGAGAATCATCTTAGTGTAGATGGGAAAAATCTACTGCAGTTTGGGGAATGTAAATATTGGAGTTACTTCTTGCCAAACCACAATACAGACAATAATGGAGAGGTAAGGACCCTTGGGCTTTACTCTGTCTTGCATATTTTCTGTTACTTTTTAAATAAACTATAATATTTTTCTTTATATATTTCCATGAAAATTGCAACTCTTACCAAAGGCAGGCATAAAACACTATGACATACCTCAGGGCCTATGAAAATGGATGCATTTGAATTTAGATAATCTCTCACTTTATCTGATATTCAATAGTAATAAGTTCCCTATATGTGGGTTCCCAAGCAGGTTCTATCCAAGAATGAAATTGGGCCGAATACTTGCCTCAATGGAAGCTAAGGTGGTTCCTTGTGCCCTGTCAAATGTGGTTTTAATATCTTGTTAAGGACATATTTGATATATTTTTCCTGCAATGCAGCCTGGATATGGAGCTTGTCCTGTTGACTTTCATATTACAAAGAATACGGTTCGGAAAGAGAAAATT